TTCTCCAAGGAGTTTACAGACATGCAGAGCCTGAGGTGTGATGTACCTAGAGATTAACATTTATCATAAAGGGGAAAGTTGTAAGCTGTAAGGAGTAGGTCTTTGTGTTCTGGGTAATAGGGATAAAAAGTCAAAGCATTGAAGTCAGACACTGCTGAGTAGTCGGTATCTGGGGATTTGGATCCTGTTCAGAGTAGCCTTGGGTGACACTTTCTGACTGGTATCAGTCCAGCTTGGAAGATGACACCTAAGCAATATTCATTCTATCATTCACTGCTCTGGTTCAACCTCCTGTTTTCTGGCTTACATAGCAAATCTGCCAAACACTTCCCAGGCTAGCAGGTAGGAATTAGTGATTGTTGTCAGTCTGTAAGAGTGCTTTAAATTAGAGCTTTTTTTTTTTTTTTTTTTTTCTTTTTTCATTTCCCAGAGAGAAAATATGAGTTAGTAAAACTTGTCCTTGCAGATAGCTAAGTACAGTGAAAGTCATGATCATGCTGTAATCTCTGATGAGCCTTTGCAATTTGGTGAAGCATTTGAGTGCTTGTCTCCAAGTTTGTTTGATTTAGTCATACTCTGGAGAAATGTCTATTGAAAAGAGCTACTCTCTGAATCAGGGCCTTGGGGAATAGCCATGAGGTAAATCAGGGGGCAGGTGCTGTGCTGTACACATACGGTTCTTGTTGCAAAACATGGCAGGAAGAAATTTTGCTTCTCTGGAACCTGTGAGAGCCCAGGTAGACATCAGGAAAATGTTGAAGTAGAAATTGTTTTGGAGAAGTGACATAAAGCAGCTCTGAAAGGCTGGTGAGTCCAGCAGCAAGTGCTCAGCCTTGCCAGCAGTCTCTGCTGGAGAGGTGAGTTGTGGGACAGGCATGAGAACTCATATATTTGCATCCCTGGAGAGGTCTGCTTGCTGAGGTCTCAGTTAACATGCCTGGTAGACACACAGAACATGCACAGGTTCACAGAACACAGCTGCCCAGGTTGTAGATACTCTCTACAGTTTCCTTTCTGTTTTGTAAATACCAGAAACATCTGTTGGATGGTCTGTGGGGGGCACCATGTCCTTGGTCAGATGTGTGCCGTATGACTGGGTTGGTGTCTGTTACTCCCTAAAGAAGGAAGGTGATGTCTGGCTCATTAGTAAAGGTTGGGACAAACATAGCTCTCTTTTCACACGGCAAAAACCTGGGGCATTTGTTATGCCTGCACCAATCTGGACTGCTGCTTTTGTATGTTCTGCTCTTTGGCTGCAATGATCCCTAGAGACGTGCTTAGCAGTGAAATCTCATAAAAACCTGCACAGGGCAGGTGTTAATTTTCAGAGGTTTTGACCCAGTCTTGTTGGCATTTGGGCCAGAGAGCGACAAATGTGTTTCTTCAAGCCAGGTTTTTGCAGTTTATGAAACACATTGAGCTAGATGAGGAAGAAAATATTACTTCTGAAAAACTGGGAAGGCAGCTGGAGGAGCTATGCAGCTTCTTTACTTTGTATTTGGAGTAATTTTCTGGCTCAAAATATAAGAGAATATTTTAGTCTTAGCAGGAAGGAAAGAATAAGTCAAAGAATAAGACAGGGGCTTTGGCTAAATCATGTAAGAAATCCTTGGTGACTGCAGGAACCAGTATCAGCATTGGTTTGTGTACAAAAATGGAGTTGTGTATAATTCTGCTGAACTGGCAGGAAAAATATTAACTATTTCTTTTGCTTTCTTTCTGCAGAGTGGTCTTAAAATCTCTTGACAGCTTTCTCCTGAAAATTAGCAAGTGCCTACAAATTGCCAGAAATGCCCGTCCGTTCGTGTTTGGCTGGCTGCCTTTGGTTCCGAGCACCTGTATACTTTAGAGAAGATAGGTTTTGTAGAAATAGTGAAAACTCCAGACTAGGAAATTCTTCATTATATTTCTCTGAATGGCACAGTGAAGCTCAAGTTAGTGGAGATGACTTCTCTTTGCTAGCTCAGTGTCAGTAGGATGAGGCATGAGTATTCTTTGTGTTCATATCTCTTGTACTGCTCTGAGAAACTTACTTTCTTGGAACACTGTGACCAAGAGTTGCTGCCTGTGCAGCATCAGCATGAGGTGAATTATACCATAATGTTTGACCTGCTGGTGTATGGTTCAGTTAAGCCAGATTTCTACAGAGCTGAATATTAAGGATCTTCAAATAAGACTTCCAGATTCAAAAAGGAGCCAGTGGATGACAGGATGAAGAGTGGGATACACTTATGGTATTGCTCATGCGAATTCAGCTGTGGCATATGCACAGACTAATTCCAGCTCTTAAGTTTCCAAATTATTTTTGGTTTGGGTCAACATTAAGGCTATCTAAATGTTACCGTTTCTGTTGAGCATCATGTCATAGCTATTATAGTATGTGATTTTCAGGCTTGTTCATACTTGATGTGCTACTTTTTGCTAATCATGTGCATCAACAGTTCTTCTACACGTTAACATATTTTGAGGCTGTGTAGGAGTTGTGTGCCAGAGGGAGTAAATCTAGCTATGTATATAAGGTGAATTACAAATGCAGATTATACATGTGAGAATCAGGGACATTCCATACCAAAATACTTCACTTAAGTGACCTATTTGAAGAACTCCATTAGCTTGGTAATACCAGGTGTTTATCCATTGTATACATCAGCTCATGGAGGGCTGAATTAAGACATACTTATCCAACTGATATATGTACTTTCTCTCAAAAAAAAAAAAATCCATTCCAGCTGTCTGATACTCACCCAGTCTTAAGTCAGGTTTCAGACTCTTTTCTTCGTAGGCTTGTATCAAAAACAGCACCTGTTTTTTTGTTTTGTTTGTTACCTTTGGTGCCAAACCTACTGGACAACTTTCCTATGAATTGAAAGAGGAATGGTGTTAGTGGACAGCAGTCCGTGCCATCTTCAAGCACAAAAGTTGCTTAACACTCATTTTCTGTTTTGCACATAGAAATTTAACATGTTTATGTTTAGGTGTGTGACTGGAAAAGCATTCAGGTGTCTGTGAGGCTCAGGGACTTTGGATAGCTATTCTGGTAAATTTTCACAGATTGGCCCATATGGTAAAATCTTGAAGTCCCCATTAAAGTCATTGACCAAAAGGTCTCTTGGAGTGTCAGGAATTAGACTGAACCTCAAATTTCAAGGCCATAGTTTTGTGGCTTTTGCAAACTGCAATTAAATTCAGGTTCATTACCACCTGATGAGCTAGAATGTATCTAAGTCTATTAGAAGCAGTGAGATGTATCCCAGAGTCCTGAGGGAATTGGCTGATGTAGTTGTCAAGCCGCTCTCTATGGTATTTGTAAAGTCACTATAGTCATGAATTCACCATTGTATTGGTGAAGTCCCAGGTGACTGGAAGAAGGGGAACATGGTATCCATCTTTTAAAAGGGTAGAAAAGAGAACCCTGGCAACCAGGGACCTCCCAGCCTCACCACCTGCCTGGGAATATCATGGAGCAGATCCTCTTAGGAGCTGTGCTCTGGTGCGTGGAGAACAGGGAGATGATTCAAGACAGCCAGCACAGCTTCACCAAGGGCAAGTCCTGCCTGACCAACCCAGTGGCCTTGAATGATGGAGTGATCATGTTAGTGAACAAGGGAAGGGCTACAAATGTCGTTTATCTGAACTTCTGTAAAGCCTTAGACAGAGTTCCTCACAACATGCCTATCTCGTTATTGCAGAGAGATGGATTTTATGCATGGACTGTTAGATGGATAAGAAAGTGGTTGGGTGGTCACATCCAGAAGGTAGTCATCAATGGTGCAGTGTTCTGATAGACATCAGTGTCAAGTGGTGTCCCTCAGGGGTTCATACAGAGATCAGTACTATTTAATGTCTTCTTTAATGACATGGATGAAGGGATCAGATGCACCCTCAGGAAACCTGCAGGTGACACCCAGCTGAAGGATGAGATGGCATCCAGAGCGATCTGGACAAGCTAGAAAAGTGGGTACATGGGAATGTCAAGAGGTTTAACAAGACCAAGTTCAGCATGCTGCATCAGGGTCAGAGCAACCCCTGGTATCAGTCCAGGCTGGGGATGAACAGATGGAGAGCAGCCCTGGGGAGAAGGACTTGGGGGTGCTCGTGGCTGAGAGGCTGGACATGACCCAGCCATGGGCACTGCCAGCCCAGAAAGCCAAACGTGTCCTGGGCTGCATCCAAAGCAGCGTGGGCAGCAGGGGAGGGAGGGGATTCTGCCCCTCTGCTCTGCTCTGCTGAGAGCCCACCTGGAACCCTGCATCCAGCTCTGGGGTCCCAGCACAGGGAGGACATGGACCTGTTGGAGTGAGTCCAGAACATGGACACCAAGGTGATTAGGTGGATGGACCACATTTCCTATGAAGACAGGTTGAGAGAATTGGTTTTTTTCAGCCTGGAAAAGAGAAGGTGTAAAGGTGACCTAATTGTGGCCTTCCAGTCCCTGAAGGCAGCCTACAAGTAGTTTTTGCAAGTGCATATAAAGAAAGGACAAGTGGCAATGGCTTCAAATTGAAAGAGATTAGGTTTAGACTATATGTTAGGAAGAAATTCTTTACTGTGAGAGTGGTGGGCACTGGAACAGGTTGCCCACAGAAGCTGTAGATGCCCATTCCTGGAAATGTTCAAGGATAGGCTGGATGGGGCTCTAAGCAACCTGGCCAAGTGAAAGGTGTTTCCACCCATGGAAGGAGTTGCCAGGGGTGGAACTAGATGGTCTTTAAGCTCCCTTCCATGGCTATTTCATGATTCTATGTTCTTAAAAAGGCACAAACCACAAATCCCAAAAAATTTCTTGAGAAAATGACTGTAATCTCAAAACACACATTCTGTATTTTTTTCTTAGGTAGAATTTCTGCTGAAGATTCTCACATTATCATTGGCAGATACAGGACTTTCTTGATCAGAAACTGCTTGCTTGCTGATATTAGCTGGGTGTCTTTACTCAGCATATTAATGTATGTGTAGGAGGGGTCAAACAATAATTCCATCTCATTTCTCTCTCTTTGCAGGCCCTCTACAATTCAATCAAGAATGAGAAGTTGGAATGGGCAGTGTAAGTATACTTTTGTTGTAGAAATTAGAAGTTTAACAGTAGTACCTGTGTAGTAATCTGTTTATATGTCCTATGTCACCGTCTTTGTGGGCTCCAAAACCTGTAGAAGATAGCCAGCATACATAATGAGTTTGCTTTTTTTGCTAATGAATGACCTGGCAATACAGCTCATCTATTTCTCCAGCAAGGGGAGTTGTTAATGATAGGAACCAACTGCATTTGTAAGGAAGGAGGACATTTCATTTAGTAGGAAACTTCAGCCTGAAAAGAGAGAAATTAAATCCTCTGTTGTTCTATGGCTGCATAAATAAAACAGAAGTTGACGTCTCCCTTTATCTTTCTGTTCATTGTGTCAGAACCGCTGAATAGAAGCACACTTCTTGGATTGAGTTTCCTGCTGTTGGTTTATTGTCTTGGTTTGTCTCCTGATTAAGTATGGATAACTTGACAACAACCTAATGTGAAAGATGATAAATGGACAAAGTCTGATATCACTCCCTCCAATCCTTAGTTGCTTTTGACAGGCTAACACCTGTTAACTATGTAAATGCTGCAGACAAGAAAAAACTTCAGTTTCTGTGTTAAACTGACATTTCTCTGTGCTTAGGTTTCATGTGGTCTAGTTATGCTAGGAAAGGGCAGAAATGTCTACTTTTGATTTTGCCACTTGCAGAACAGTGGATTTTGGTATAAAATAGGAAAACTATATATTTTAGCTATAAAAGAGTATTTCCCTGCTCGTATTTACATATCTGAAACCTCACCTTCTTGGGAACAATGTCAGGAATGCATGCTCCTGCACCTCTTGTGCTAGAATTTCTAGCAACTGCCATAGGTCTTGCAGGCCCAGTGGCTTCTGATCTTCATTGTTTTAAGTTCATGATCTGCAAACAAATTTCTTGTTAGGGTGTGCAGCCTCACAAAGGCAGCTGGTTCCAAGTGGGATTGCTGTCCCACTTCAGAAATGTGTTAGGTGGTGTCAGTGTAGTAAAGAAGATATGCTTTTAATGGGAATCAGCAAGAAGTGCCATCTCTGATGAGCATTAAAAGTCATGGTGGGAGACATTTTCACAGACTGTGTCTTGGACCTGGATCTTACATGTCACACCAAAGCTGTTTGCCAGACACTGTCACAGGTACTTTAGAACCAGCAGGATCCATTATGTGACTTTCTCAATGTCAGAGTTTTCCTCCAGCTCTTGCCAAGAAACTATACCATGTCTAATACACTTGGGCAGCCTCCAGGTGGCAACTGGCTCTGCTCCTGTGAACCTCAGTCAAGGTGATTTATGAGATCTTGCTGCTGTATAGGTGGTAACTGCTTTGGCATTTACATAGTCTATTCCATGTCCTTTGTTTGGGGGAAAATTCCAAACAGGCTGGAAGAGTGATAATTCAGACTCTTTCTTAAATTAGGCTTTGGATGGATATTATATATATATATATATATATATATATATACAGGAGAATGCTCAAAGGTGCCAGTTGTTGGCTCCAATCTGAGACTAACATGTAGCTAGGACTGATGTTACAATTCATTTCCATGATGAAAAACAAAGCTCATTCTGGGCATAGTCATTACCTTTAGAGCTGAGGGTACTGGCTGGAAGAGGAAAGGTGAAGATGTTTCTCTTCATTTTTATAGAGATGTGTGGTTGGTGTAAAGTAATAACCTCAAGAAGCCCTGGGGCTGCCTGAGCTTGAGGGAGGAGGCACATATATCTCTTGCTCTACTGTTGTGATCTGCAGAGAAAGCTGAATGGGAAGGAAACATGGTCAGTTTTGTTCTGGTGGGACCAAAGAAAATCCTGTCTCCCCTCCAAAGACTATCCCTTTGCTTCCCTGATGCGCTTGACAGGGTAAGAAGAGGGAGGTAAGGCAAAGGTGAAGATAGGACTCCAAACCCCAGTATAAGCTCTCCTACAATGCTGGCATTTTGAAGGAGTGCCTTTCCTCCAGACAGAAATCCTTTGAGGATCTAAGACGCTCATCAGCTAAGCGAAGGTTTAAGAGCTGCTCTGGAACTACATTATTTAGTGGATTAATGGCAATCAGTAAGTCCATAGGCAAGAAAGGGTAATGGTGAAACATACGATGGGGAAGGACAGCTATCCAATCCATATCTTACTAGTTGTGAGCTAGGTGTTTGCAGTTTGCAGTTTGCAGTACATTTCCAGTAGAATTATAGTCTGATCCAAAGCCCACACAAAGAAAAGGCTACTATTGACTTCAATTTTGTAATCAAGAGAAGTGACACCTTAATCAGCAGATGTTCTCCAGAGACTTTCAGTAGGAGTGTTCCTTTATCCTTTTTGAAAAGCATGAGTACAGCTCTGAAGAGAGAATTGCATTACAGTTCTTCTTCTACAGTAGTGCCTGGTTCAAGTTCTCCACAAAGTTAAAAGTGAATCACATACCATAATCTGTAAAATAAAGAGATCTGACCTGGAATTTACACTGAACTGGTGAATGTGGGATCCTGAAACCACACTTCTGCTCCACACTGCAAGCTCCGAAGGTGTGAACTGTTCTTCATGTCTGTTGTGGATGGCCTTAAATTTGAAACAAGGGAAATTTGATATCAACCTTTAAAAGGTTTTCTATTAATTTAAACCAAGGTTTTATCCAGACAGGTTTGTCTGGATAAAGTACAGAAGTGCTTTCATTGAAGGTTTTTGTGAACTGGTTGTTCTGTCTGGAATGGGTTAGGAAGAGGAGATCCAGCTATAGAGTCAAAGAGATAGATTGCCTGGCCTCCTAACATTCCTTCATTGTCTATAATACTATATCCCAAGGTTTTTAGGTGTTTCTCATTCTTTGGCTTTCACACTGATCATTGTCAGCTTTAAGCTGAAAAAGAGAAATCCATTTGATTACAAAGGTGCCAGAGCTAAATATTTTTTATTTGCGTTATGTCTGCATGGAAATGTCATGGTGGTCATTATTGTTTTCCTTTGTTTGTAATACTGTGTCTGTTTACTGTTGAAAGTAATAGGAATAAAAAAATCATCATCTTAAAATAGGTGGTCTAGAATTAATATATGAACTCCCAAAGCACTGCTTACAGAATTGCTAAAGCCAAATGGCTGCATTTGAGCCCAAAAGCCTCCTCTCAGCAGAACAGTGTAGTTTTCAGGAGAATCACTTGGTTTTAAACTAGCCAGTGATATACTTCTCTAACCAGAGAAGTTTACAGGGACATGGTATATTCTTTTTTTGTTTATCTGGACTACACTGATAAATTAACTCCTTTCAGCCAAAACAACACAGGTAATTCAGATAGTGATGGTGGGAAAGAGATGCTGCCAAATCAAACTCTGATGCTGAGATCAGGGTAGTTATAAAGACATCTGTGCTGAAGCTCACCTTTTTCTAGATCAAACTGAGAAATCTTCCCCTATTATAATTAACTTTTGTCTCCCAAGTTCTAGGATGTTTCCTGTTTGCAACTTCTTGATTGGTTTTAGGGCGGGGTCACGTATTCAACCTGGTTCCCTTTCTTCCTCCTCACACTGGAAAGATGCCAAAACTTCTCTCAAGTCAATTTCCTAATACAGATGCTGTTAGTTTCATGGATGCATGTTACAAACCTGAATTTTTTTTTCAGTTGCAATATTTAAATAGATGAACTCAGCCTTCTTCTGTTGTCATATAAGGTTGCTATTTGAACAAATGCAGAGATGGAGCAGAGTTTTAAAAATGAAGGGCTTGACCACATTGTTCCAGATCAGTGATTTCAGAATTTTCTGAGGCAGAGCCTCAAATCAGACCATAGATTGCACAGAAATAATTTTGTTACTGAGAGAATCGGATGATGCTTTTCTCCCAGAAGACAGAAATGGGACTTCCTTGTATAGGATCTTCTTGGGAGAGGCAGAAAATGCTTTTCTTCACCAAAATGGCAACATCTGGATTTTTCTTTTTTTCACATCTATGTGTTTAAGAATAAGGGGCAAACTCTTTCTAGTTGTCAGTTATCTCTATTTGGGAAGGAAAACATTGCTGTTTCAATGCTGTGACTGCAAGTGATAGCACAAATATGTCCTGGGTTTGGTGTGCTGGTTCTCATGGGCAGCCAGAGGGCTGGTTACTGCCCTCTCTTGAGGTCGTTTGCCAAAGAGATAGGCTTACAGAAGTGGAACTGAAGCTTCTTGTTTTGGGAAGCCTTGCAAACATCATGTGCCATAAGCAGAATCTTAGAGAAGCTCTATAGATGGTAACCTTTTCCTGTCACTAATAAGAGACACTGTGGATCCCATTTCCTATGAATGGAAAGTGGGACTTAATAGAAGTTTTGCAGCTATCAGCCCTCTTCAGTCATCAGGGAGGAGTCGCCAGAGAAATTGCTTCCAGACCCAGAGCAGGGAATGATTTACCTCTGCTGATCAGGGTCAGAAAAATCTCATAAGACTTCTGCAAGCCTAATTGAACCTTCATGATGATGTTTTGCCTACTGAAAGGTGTTTTGGAACCATTGTGCGTTTTTTTTCCCCTAAAGGCATAAGTATTACGTTACTTCCTGTATGAAATGGAAAAGAGAGGCAGTGGTCCTGTCCTTCAAAAGGACCTGAGCTAATGCCTGCGTGACACCATGTCCACGACTCTGAACATACCTGCACAGAGATTGCCATTGACTCTTACCCACATCACTGGAGGCCTTCACACTGGGGATGTTACAGCACATGGATGATCTGTGAGACCCATCTGAGGATGGGCAGGTAGTCACACTCCCCACAGTTTAGGGTTTCAAACCAAGATCAGTTTTCACGTTTATGTATCCAGAGGCTCCCCTGAATTTTCTGCAGTTCTTTCTTGCAAAAGTACCCTAAAGGCTTGTTAGAAGTAAGCTCAGATTGTTAAATCCCTGATAAACAGTATTTGTGACCTATCTATTCAGCCAGCTTTGGAAGATACCTGAGGGAAAGCTAATACCTGAACTTTTTTTGCTACTTTGACATTCCTCCAAATGATCTTGCTTTCTTCTTATGTTTGACCACTGAAGTAACGTGGAGTATTTGAGCAAATGAGTCCCAGATCCCCTGGTTTTCATCCACTTCTTGCTTGTAATGAGTCCTTCCTGCCTCTTTGTCTCCATTCATTGGCTCTTGCAGATTGATTTGTGTATCTTGCCCTCATGCATCTTGTCAGAGCACTCAGCTCTCAGAAATGTCTGAAGCTTCTGAGTTTCAAAGAAGTCCCATTTTCATGATAGAACAAAAGACCAGTTAAAGGTTTGTGTAGTGCTGCCGGCAGTTGTAACAGCAGATGCTATTTTGTCCTTTCCACCATGTCTTTTGAGGAATTCCTGTTTTAACAGCTACCCTAGAAGAGTTGAGTTTAAGAGCACCACCCCCAACTGTTACTGATGTCCGGGATCCCCCCCAGGATTCCTCATCACACCACTGTGGCTGCTTGGTTAAGGGCACTAGTATATTCCCACAGGACAATTGATCAGTATACAGTAGTTCATTCCCATAGCTCCAAAGGAGATAGCTTATTCCAAGAAAGTGTTAAGCCTTTTACTGCAGTTGGTATCTGCTGACAAGGAGAAATCTGCTGTGTCCTTGGCTGAAATTCCAGAATTCACAAGGCACTTCTGTGTGACAAATCAGCCTGTGTGCTTATGCCCTTTGAGAGATTTTAGTCTGGATTAAGTGCCTCAGACTCATGTTGGGAGAATTTGCTTCTGGAATGGACATGTGTCTAAGAAACACATAACACACAGTGGTTCAGACTTTCCAGCAGCTGGCGAGTAGAGCCATGTAGGGTGGGGACAAACAAAATTGTCAGAAATGCCTACACCTTTTCAACTTGGAGAGGGCTTCAACTAAAGCATACTTGAATAAGTCCTTATTGCTTTGACTAATAAAAAAAATTTGTAGAACTTTCTGTGCTGGAGTGGGAAAGCACACATCAGTAGACTAAAGATGCAAGGACTGCTCTTCCTTGCAGGAATTAGGTCTTGAAGTAAAAGTTTCATTCCTCTTAATTAGGAGATCTTGCAAGACAACATCATGAAGGTATGGTGCACCTCCTGACTATTTTTCTGTAATTTATATGAGATGACGAAAATTGAATGCTTGGGAACATTCCCTGCTGCTACAGAGCTCACTAATACAGACTCCATGTTTCTGGATTTGTTTTCCTTATTGTCAAACCAGTCTCTTAGCCTTTTACCTCCTTAGACTAAGTTATTCTCCCGAAGACCATTTCACAGAGTCATAGAATAATTTTGATTGGCATCATCTAGTTTGGAAAAGACTTCCAAGATCATCAAGTGGAATCTCTGACTGAACATCACCCTTTCAACTAGGCCATGACACCAAGTACCATATCCACTTGTTTCTTGAACACTTGCAGGGATGGTGACTCTACCATCTCCTTGGGAAGTTTGTTCCAATGCTTAACCACCCTTCAGTGATAAAATTTCTCCTGATGCTCAACCTGAAGCTCCCCAGGCACAGCTTGAGGCTATGTCCTCTCATCATTCACTGGTTGCTTGGGAAAAAAGGCCAACCCCCACCTGGTTGCAACCTCCTTTCAGGCAGTTGTAGAGGGTGATAATCAGCCTCCTTTGCAGCAGAGCTGAGGATAAGATAGATTTGTTGCTGTAGCCCATAGTTCTTGGAGGACACTTTTTTGAATGGTCATTCCCATAAGCAGCCATGGTAGCAGTGTATTCCTAAAGGAGCTTCCGGATTGATATATGCCTTGCTAATCGTCACCTGATACATGCCTTTGGACATACAGATGTGTTTGGAAGATCTGCTTGAGCTTGCTCTCTCTGCCAGTCATCTGGGTCCAGCGAGATGCATCAAGTTGAGATCCACCCCCAGTGGGTTAGCAATACTAAGCATCATTACACTCAAGTGATTTTTTTTTTTTTTTTTAAATCAGATGCTGGTCTCAGGAGGTGTTGCTACCACAGTTTTCCAGTGACAGCCTTCATACTCCCTGACACGCCTTTCCTAGTCACCTGGAGGGGAATGTGTGTGGATTTCAAAGGAGGAAGGGTTGCTCTGTAATCTGGCCTGTTCTCTGAAAACTGTTGTCCTGTTCTTGTGATGGACGCCCTTTACTTTCTGGGTTGCCTAGTCCTTTTTAGCCTTTGCCTCTGACAAGCAAAAAGGCTTTTATTAGTCAGACAGTGCTTGTGACTTGCATTGTTGTCCCCAAGAGCTCTGTGGAATACATTGCCCTAATAAGTAACATTTTCAGCAGCATTTTGTTTCCAAAGTAAAGATGACCTAATTCACCTGGTGTGGTTTTTATTTTTAAATTACTAATTTTATGCTAGTCTCAGAGGAAAATAAAGAAAAATAGGTAGAGTTTGTGCTTCATATGCTAAGTTAAGGGGTAAACCACAGTGATCTGTAGTATTCTATTTCTTTTCATCTACATGGAAGCTCATGAAGAAGTTGGGGATTTTTCAGCTGAACCCAGCAGACAAATATTTCCCATTTTGGTACTCAAATACATGGAATTTAAAGTAGGAAAAGTTGGAGGACACAGGACATTCTTGAAGTCTCAAAACAATAATGGAAACTTGGGCTTTTTGAAAATCTGTGTCCTGTGCTGATGAAGTAGGTGAACTGAAGCTTTGCTATAATATGTCTATATTTTGATATATTTCTAGATTTCTCCCTAAATATGGCCCCCTATAAAGAGAGAGGTATATTTTGACAAGGAGTGTTCAAAAATTGCTGAAGTGATACTTTGCTGATCAGTCCATCCTTCATGCATGATTTTCACTGCTTTTTAAGGGATGAAGAAGAGAAAAAAAAATCTCACTCGGACGGTGCAGATGAAAAGGATAATGGGAACCAGACAAAGGCTGTCAGTCGAATTGGCAATTCAAATAACCCATTCCTGGACATCCCTCACGACTCCAATGCTGCCGTGTATAAAACTGGATTTCTGGCTCGGAAAATCCATGCAGATATGGATGGAAAGAAAAGTGAGTAATTTTTCGATCCTAATGTGTTATTTTCTTGTTATGTCTTCACAATGCCACTTGCAAATGAGCCCATGTACTTTTCAAGGTTAATATTGCTGCTTCATTAGGGGAAATAGCAGCAATAACAGGCAAGACAACAACTGAATTATCACACTCTCACTATTAGTCCAGAATTTACAATGCTCAGTCCCATTTGCAGCAGCTCTAATGCATAAGTATAAGAAGTAATGTGATACAGCAAAGCCATGTGAATTTTTGGGCTAAAAGAAAATTAATGTAGTGGTTTACAGATAAAAATAATTTCAAGTGAATTACAGTAGGTGTTCTGCAGTAATTGATAATTCTCCTTTTCCTTATGTGACACCAGATTGTTCCAGATCTCTCCTCCTCTCTGCGTCTGTCTTTAAAGAAAGGCTGTTCTTTACCTCTGTTCAGAAGATAGTCTTCCCTTCCATACTTTCCCTGCCTTGGGTCACATATCCAGTGAAGGGTGGCAGCTTTTGGCACCAGCCAGCTTTTTATATGCAGTTCCTTCCTGTCCCTTTCTTGTACTAATCCTGCTCTGTCTCTTACTTACTTTAATAATCTTTTTCCCTTCTTGTCCTACTTCTGTTTGTGATGCACTAATTATCAAGGGCCTCTGAGTGTGTTTTGTTGTTTGAATATCTTCATTTCTTGTCTATAGATCTTGGGAAAAGCTGAGCTTAGTCAGAGCATCTGTGTTTTCTCCAGTAACTGTTGATGATTGCCTACTCATGATTCACATTGGTCGGCTAAGTCCCAAAGACAAAGTCTGGCTTCATGATGGGTTTCCAGTGACAGCCAGTCTCTCCTAGGCTAAGCTCTTTGGTGTTCACATGTTTTGCTAATCTATTTTAGGAGGTACAATTGGAGGTCATATTTTCAAGATGGAAGCTAACAGCTGGACAACTGGATTCAGACAGAGGTGTCAAAATCAAGCTGACCTAATTCTTTATGATGACTGAATACTCCAAATAGGCTTGTCTTTATTAAACATCCTCTTATTCAGCCTTAATAAGTAATTGTATCTAGTTGCCTATATTAAATTATTTCTTTAATTATAAATACCAGAATTGCTCATTATTTAACACACTGGACACTGGCATTCTGGAGATAACTCTTTTATGAGTAATGTAATTAGGGCCGTGTTTTCAGAAGTTCCTGTATAATTTAAAGGTCTGCCGTTCTCAAAAAAGTTGCATTCTGACTTTCCAGATGCTAATAAAACTTTGTTTGTTTGTTTTTGTTTGTTAGACCTTTTCATATTTCATTTTCTAATGGAGTCCTTGCAGAACAGAGATTAGCTTGTGTGGGATTTCTGATGAATTTATGTGCTAGAATGCTCATCTGTATTTTCTCAGGAACCTAGTTTCGAGGGCTAAAGCACTTAGACACTTAGAGGAAAAGGATGTAACAGCGGCCAATGGCTGGAAACTGAACTGAACAAATGCCAGTTAGAAGTAAGGCCTGTTTTGCAAGATGAGAATGATTAACCTCTGGGACAAGGGACTTTTAACCTCTTCATCTTCACTTTCTGTCTTCAGATCAGACTGGGATGCCTTTCTGAGTGTCATTCTTTAGTTGTATATGTATTAATTTCGGTATAGTGTCAGTGATGCACTGTATGGATGCTGGTCACCGGTGTGTGCTTGTTGGGGAGTGAGCTTAGATGTGGGCTTCTGGTCTCTGGTGCTGTGACTGTACAGCCTGTGCCTAATTCTCTCCCTCTGTTGCACCTGAATTTTAGACTGGATCCTTCAGTCTTTATGTTGAATTTACTTCCCCCGGCCCCACCACTGCTTGTCTCTAGGAATTTATGAACTAGATATGTTGTATCTGTTCTTCGACCTCTAACTGGCTTTCTTGTGGGGTTGGGTATGTTATGTATGATTTTATTTTATGTATGGTTGGCACCCTTCTCCTTTCTCAATGTCACCTTGGGGGTGCAGCAGCAGTAAAGGGGAAGGATGCTCTGGGGAGGCACTGCTTTCTGTGTAGTATCCCCCTGGTTCTAAGCAGTTCCTGCCAGCCTGCTGTGGCATGCAGAAAGACTGCTTCTTTCTGAAAACTGCCGTGATGCAGAGCTCAAATGTAGTTGTGTGGGACAATGTCTGCCTGCCTTCAAGAGGACAAACACTGGATCTCTGTGGCTCTCTGTGGCCTTCATTCTGCATTGCTGCTGTTCCTTCCTGATCCAGTCCAGGGCTGTCATTAGGGTTGTTGTATTACTTTCTCTCACAGCAGGTACATGCAGGCGCTGTGCTATGTTGCATTGTCCTTTGAGAAAGATAGTTTGAAGGAGGTTTAACACAGGGCTAATGTAGCTCTCCTGTAGGGTATGCAAAGTGTAAAAATGGATCTGATCTAAATGGGTTTTTATTTGTTTTCTTTCCAGCTCCCCGGGGAAAACGAGGCTGGAAAACCTTTTATGCTGTGCTGAAGGGAACAGTCCTGTACTTGCAGAAGGTAGGGGAAATCACTGTCTTTTGAAAACTAATTAAAGAGGTATAAAGCAGCATGCATCCTCTCTACTCTCTCAGTGACCTCCAGGCTCCTTTCCCTCGGACGCACAGCATGGCTGATATCCCTACCTCCACCCTATTAACACACACATTCAGACATGAATCCTCTCATTGACACCCTTTCCCTTTTCACAATTTCAAGTTCAGTTCCACTGCCGCATCCACACGTGCACCCTGTAGTTCCAGTGTATGCTACTGCTGTCTGACACAGCTGAAAAAACCAGCAGCTTCACCAGGAAAGACAGTGTCACCTCTCTGTGTCATGCACACATTCCTCTAGGCTGCTTTTAACTTTGCGTTTCATATGTATGACTTGCCCTTCTGTAAGGTTGTCCTCCTTTCCCACCTTTTCATAGTACACTTTTCTGCAGTGCCTGCAAGACCAGCTGCAAAACAATTGAACAACAGCTTGGCTTTGGTAGGAATCTGCAGCTGCTGTTCCTTTGCAAACTTGAAGGATAAAAGGATACTTTTTCCCCCACAAAGCAAGAAAGGACTGGTTTCTAACAAAATGTGCTTCCTGACAGCAAAGTGTCTAAAAAAAAAGTCAGATGAAACCGTTTAAGCCTTTTGTTGCAAGCTTAAGTATATTATAGTACATTTTTAACTACACTGTTAGAACATAAAATGCAACATACAAGTGAGAACTGTCAAAAATCAAATACATGGCAGCAACTAAGTAGGTTGTTAAGGCTTTTTGCCCTCCAATATAGATGAATATTCATGGAATAGATGCAGCTTGTCCAGACTACCCTATATTGCAGAAGTATGCTTCTTTGAAAGCTGTTTTACATTTTCACTCAAAAACTGATAGTTTTGTAACTATCGGGACTACAAGTACATACTGCTATTTCCTCATCCCCTGCTGTGGCTTTCTGAAATTGTTGGTTTCACTGGACCCAGCCTGTATAGTCCCTTGAGAAGAAAGGGTGATTTGAATCAGATTATTATAGCATGAGGTTTACAAGGTGAATGCTCGGGATGCAGTACCTTTTTGAGGTGGCTGAAATCCTGAAACAGACTAAAAAAAATCTGTGGTCACAATAGAAGATTTGGGCTGTTGGATGTGATACGCTCAGAGCCAGTGCAAGAGACTAAAACCAAGTCCACTGAAGCCCAAGTCCTTTTGCTGGGAGCACATTCAGGTATTACTAAAATGCCTCCATGGCAGGCTTGTACTTGCCCTTTTATGACCAAAGTGGATTAATCTACTTGAGTTTCTGAGATAAGTAATCTTTAATGTTCACCTGAAAAAACTGCAGGGTTCTCTGAGAAATGAGAAGACTCCTTTTTTGTAATACAATATTTAATTCCTTATTTGATATTCAAGGGAAAGAACTGAGTATACTGTCTATTTTAGCACTTTTATTAAATATTTTTATGAGTATTGCTGGCATATTAGTTTAAAATGCTTTCTGTTTCATAAAATGTAGAGATGTTGATGTAGCATGCAAATTTCCTACAGAATGCTGCCCTTCCCCCTGTTACCCTCCATGCTTTCAGGAGCAGGGAGTAATTTCACATATGACTGCATCTTTGCAGAATGAAATACATTGTGGAATTCCTGTTCATATTTGTTTGTCAGTTGTGTATTTTGCACTTCTCAGAACACTTGAATTCAGTGGTTACAGGGCAGTACTCCGCAGAGCTGCATTCTCCCATTTGCATGGGAGCCATCCATTGCATTGAAGCCATCTTACTGTAGCACACTACCAAGCAAGCTTTTGCTTTTGTGCTGGGAAAAGATTGACAGAAGGGTGTGATGGGAGGTAGCTCATTCCAAGAGTGATGAGGCAGCTGTGAGCCTCCCCACAATGCCTCTGGCCGCTGCTCAGCCACATGCTGCAGCTGTGAAAAAGCCTGTGATTTCAGCTTCAGAGGGTCTGCCAGGGCTTTCCTTCAGCTCTCAAATAGACTTTACTCTCTTAGGGATGTAGTATCATAGAAGGTGAAGGTGCCAGAGTTAAAAAATACACAGGTAGGCCAAGTAGTTATAGTAAAGGTTGCCGAGCTGCTGTTTCCTTCTGTAGGGATCAAAATTATTCTAATTTCAGGAAGTACTGAAGCATTTTAGAACAGTTTGATTTCTTTGCAGAAGTGCATAGTTCTGAAAATAGTCCTGGCAATAGTCCCGGTCAAAGGATTGCCTTGTCTCAGTTCACCTCAGTTCTCTCCGGATTATAGAGAAGGTAAAGCTGACATAGTGCAGTAGGCTGGGGTGCATTCACAAGCACGTCCTCTTTTTCTCATTCCCTATATACCTGTGGAGATGACATATGTGGTGGTGGTTTCATTGCACTGTTCAAGCAGGATAGAGAGAAATCTCACTGTACAGGTGCTGTGTACACACAAACACATGTACAAACCTCTGCAGTATTGCTTTCTGTGTTCATCTGTAACTCAGCTGTTCCCTCAAGACACTATTGTAATATAAATATTAATTTTTCATAGCAGCTGTCATTCCCCCAGTGGGCAGTGTGATCCCAGTTCTGCTGTCTCTCTATTTGCATTGCTGTTCTCCTTGTTTTGCTGTGAAAGGCCATGAATGAGAGTGTTTTGTAAATGGTGGTCACTTGAGATTTACTGAGGATTTTTCTGGACCACCATGTCTCCCTGCCCACCTTTTTTTTTTCCCATTGGAATTATTCTAGTGCTAATTTCTGTGGTATGTATTGTTTTGTTCTTAAATAAGTGATTTAGGAGAGATGCTTTCTAAATTAATGAGCACAGAGAGCACTGGAGGAGCTCAGTGGAAATGTTCACAATTAACCAACTAAACGTGCCTGCGCAGTATTATATAAAATAAGAAGTTTGACATGTCTGGGACATTGGCTGTGTCTCTGGGCATTCTCAGGCCGAGGTTTATTTCCTACTCTCTGTTCATGGCAAGAGGAAATTGCAAAGTAGCATCTTGACAGAATGTCTGTTCACTAGACTGACGTGGGATGTGATGTGCATATATAAGAGAAGCTTATAAGGAGAGGACATAAGGCTGACCTCGCTTCCTTGCTAGAAATTGCTTCTGGGCAAACAGTACACGACACAAACCTTCATGTTTTGTTTCGACTCGTCTGTGAGGTTTGCAGCATATTTGCTCTATGATGTGGCACTTCATAATCTTGCAGGTTTTGGGTCTTTTTATATAAATTTTCTCAAATTTCCTCTGTTAAAAATTAAAAAAAAAATAGTGAACAGCCAGACTGATGTAAAGTGTTTGGTGGTGAGAATTTTTGAAAGAGAATCTTGCAGCTGTCTTATGCAGCTGCATGGAGATATCCATCCATGGTACACAGTGACTGATAAGAAAAGACAAATGTCATTCTCTGGTTTACCAAAAAACATGTTTAGAAATTTGCTGACTCTGGCTCATCAAGATGTGGGAAAGTCATTCTCCAGGAGTTTGAGAAAGATGAATTCAGCATGCCATTGCATTGTACACAGCACTCACATCAGCCTGCAGCTGACAAACAGGTCACAGTTTCTTTCTGGCTTCATATATGTTTCTTGCCACTGTCTAGGTCTACGAGGTCTAACTTTAGAGAGCTGCCTTCCATTTCAGCTCAACCTGAACACTGACACCAGCACATCATAGCACATGCTGTCCTTGACGGCTTAGGCAAAAATGGATGTTCCTACTCCCCTAGCATTCCCTGCCAGTCAAAAAGAGTTGAAGGCCTTGGAGAAGGAATTTTGGCAGCACATTCATGTCCTTACAGCTTTCTCTGAGGCTGGCAAACTACGTGGAGACATTTGCGGTATGCTGATCAGTGCCTGTGGAGAAGCTGGCAGAGCTCCAGCTGTCATGGTAGATTGCAGGCAACTGATCTGGTGGGATTAGCAAGGATTACCATGAATGCTTTCTGTTGGAAAGTAGGATTCATCAGCCAGGGCTGCTTCTGGGACTGCCCAAATGTGGACTTCTTCTGAAACAGGCTTAGTCACCAGAGCAAGCTGTAGACATTGGATGCAGCTCACAGTGGAAGCTAGGAGGCAACAAGCTAAGTGATAGCTGACCCTGTCTCTAGGCAGTAATACGAGGTAAGATAGAGTATCGTATGTCTGAGGCCTGTCTAAGTTCATTTCCTGTCTCTGAGGTTTTCCCAGTCTTCCTGGACAATGGAGTCAGTCATTTCCCCCAAAACTACCACCAAATAAATCAGCTTGTTAACCCTTACAGGAAGGGGCTTGACCTGGGGCCTTGCCTCTTCCATCTTTAAGACAGGGTATGCCAGACTTCCTTGAAAAAGGTTTAAAGAAATGCCCTAAGTGGGCATAGGCAACATCCTTCAAGAAAGACAGATTCCTCCAAATCTTGCTGAGTCTCACATTATGAAAGAGAAAGGACATTTGTCTTTGCTCACTGCCAGCCCTTGTAAACCCCTTATATCACAGATCTTTAGGTTGGAGGCTGCCCTTTGGTCACCTGTGCAGTAATGCTCTGCCTGTCTGCTGGGCCTGCCAGACCTGTGGTGGGTTGTGCCCTTGCGTAGCTCCAGATAGAGGTGGTGGTGTGGCAGGACTGCGGGATAGCTGCCTCTTCTCAGGTTAAGTGTCTGAGCACCAGTGTGGGAAGTTGTGGGCCTAGCATCAGGCCCTCCATCAGAAAGGATGAGACATGACAGAGGAGCAAGATGTTTTCTCCCACCTTCCAAGAGGTGGTCACCACAGCTGGTGACTTCCTATCCACTGAAACTCAACCTGGAGAGTCCCAGCCCAGCCTGGCTGAAAGCTCAGATACCTTTGGCAGTGTCATAGATTCTTCTGGCTGCAGTCTTGTTTGGTGTGCTGCCAGAGGAGTTGTGTAAGTGAATTCATGCACATTCTCTCAGGTGGGTGTCTCCCTGGATGTTGAAGCTATTGCTGTCCCTGCACATACTCTGCACCTTGCACTATGTTTCCTGCTAAACCTTGTCTCATAAATTGTGTTCAAGTGCACGATCAATAGTTACCATGTCTGCTGGGAGTTATTTCACTGCTTTGCAGCTGTCACACGTGGTGCATATTCCAGGTGAGACTGATTGCTGTGATACACTAAGGGGGAGAAATGGAGTCAATTACAGACTGCTTTGGCCTGCCCTTCAGAAAAAACGTGATGCAGCCTTGCTGGAAAATCACTTTTCTTTCAGAAAGCTCCTGGCTTTCCCAAGCTGTTTATAGTCATGTGGGCTTTGGATGAAACTTGTGACTACATTATGCCCTTGTCCAGATTCTGTCAGTCAGAAGATCAAAGACTGCTTCCAGGCTGATGCTTGCAAGACAAGAGCCCCTGTTTTTGTCATCTGGTGTTAGGAGTGGTACTGTTACCATGTCAGAAACTCAGACAGAACTGTGATTGCCTTTTGTAGACCCTTGTCAGAGAGATGTAAGGGAGTTTGCTGTAATTTTCTATGTGGACATGGTAAGGAGGCTTCTGCAGTGTGTGAAGGCTTGCCTAGGAGCGCCTACAAAGGTAATTGGTTGAGAAAAATCAAAATCAGGCAGTAGAGGCTGAGAGCCTAAGTAGCTGAGCAGTGGAGTTGGGGAGCTGATTATGAAGGATTCTTGAAATGAAGATAAGTAATCCACAGCTGTTGTCATAGTCAAATACTTCCTGCTTACATCTCTTCCTGTCAAGCAGATAGTAGAACTACTTCTCTCCCTTGGAAAGACATCAAAACAGAGAAAGAAAGAAAGAAAGAAAGAAAGAAAAAGAAAACATGTTAAAGGTAGCGGAAACCACAAGTCAGGTTGCACTTAGTTCATATACTCTCTTGCTATTTCTGAACTCTGGAATAAGGTTTTCCCTAGTCTAAGGAAAAAGGAATAGTACATGCAGAAATTGAATGCCATAAATTTTCTCCCTGCTATCTCCTGCAGGATGAATATAAGCCAGAAAAGGCTTTGTCAGAGGAAGATCTGAAGAATGCGGTTAGTGTGCACCATGCGCTGGCATCCAAGGCAACAGACTATGAGAAGAAACCCAATGTCCTCAAGCTTAAAACAGCAGATTGGAGAGTCCTGCTTTTCCAAGCCCAGTAAGTGCTCTCCTTGTGCCACTCATTGAGGAAAGAAAGCAGTGCTGAAGGAGGAATAAATTCCTGCCTGGACAGGTTAAAACAGAGGCTTAAGAGGTTCAATCTGTTTATTTGATCAACAAGATTAAGTAGTAATGTGATTAGTGTGCACAAGTAGTGCATGAGAAGGAAACATCAGGTTTTAAGAGGCTTTTTAATCTAGCTGAGAGAGGCATAACAAGATGCAGGAGCTAGAAGCTGAAGCTCCAGGAAATTCAATTTGGGTACAAGGCACAAACTTATAGCAGTCAGGATGATTAATCATTGAAGCAATTGACTAAAGGCAGTCTTGGATTGTCTGTCTTCTGATGTCATCAAGTCCTAGCTGGATGTCTTTCTAGAAGATATGCTGTGGTTAGAAACAAAGTTACTACATAATACAAGAGTGATTTTATAAAGTTTTTCATGCTGTGATATCCAGACATAACAGATTACCTGCCTTTTGCTTCTGAGCCCTTTTCTACTAAGATCCATATTGAACCTCCTGTAGGTCTGTGGTGTCCAGCACGACCGAGGCCTTAGGACACATGTCTGAATCAGGTCATTAGTTGGCTCTGTCAGCTGTGTTACTGGGATCGGATTAGAGAAAGATGTGTGCTAGGGTAAGGTATGGACCTAACGACAAGCCATCCTGAGTTATTTAGCACTAACTGCTTGCAAACATAGGCAGGAAGACAGAGCAGACTCCTAAGACTTGTCCAGTTTTGGTTATTCTGACTTTTTAAAATATTCTAGAAGGGATGGAAAGAGGTAGACAAGGCTGAGTCAGCAAGTGCTTAATATGTGTTGCATCCTCAGGAGCCAAGAAGAAATGCAGACCTGGATCAACAAGATTAACTGTGTGGCTGCTGTCTTCTCTGCACCACCATTTCCAGCAGCCATTGGCTCTCAGAAGAAGTTCAGTCGCCCACTCCTACCAGCCACCACAACAAAGCTATCTCAGGTGAGACATTTTTATGTAGAGGGTAGGTGATAATGATTTCTCTTTCAGTCCAGACACTGGATGGTGGTGGTCCTTGTCACTGTTTTATAGCTGTTGCCGCTAGCAGTCCTAGGAGGAGAAGGCTTGCATAATAAATCTCTGCTCATTTCCTCATGCAAGATTTGAAGTGGGGGGAGAAAAGGAACAGACTCAAATACAATTGATTTATGTTTTTGAAAAAAATAGTACCAGATAAAGAATTTTCTTCTTGTGCTTGTGTCCCTGTAGAGGACATTTCAGATACTGATTGATGGGGTTTTTTTGGATTTGAATGTTTATGAAAGCCACTCATTTCAAAAGGAGTGGACATACTCCTGGTCGTTGGCTTATTGAATTGATAAAAGGTGAAAGCTGATGCATCAGACAAGCATCAATTATATTTCTCCCACTAGATTTCCCAGACTCCCTTTATCAGCTCAGGGATTTCTTGTATAAAATATATTTATAAACTGTGTCTTACTTGAATCTCTTCAGTCTCCCTTGTGATCACACAAGCTTTTAGCATCCTGTGGCAAGGAGTTTCATGGCTACTTGCTTCTTGCACAAATGCACATATTTCCGCTGGTCTCAGACTAGCTGTATCAGATGCTTGTGCCCATAGCTTTTTGTATTTTGGGAGATGCAATGCCTGCTTGGAATTCCTCCTGCACTGGCAGGAACATGATACTGATTGTGTTGATCAGATTGACAGAGTGACAGAGGTTATACTATGACATCTTCCTGTAGTTTTTAAAGTGATCTGCCCATGTTGGATTGCTTCTTAAATGCATTTGTTGGGGTTTTTTTTGTTTTTACTGTCTTCATAGCTTAGCAACTATCCTTAGAAACCACTGTCTCAAAATCTGTGTTTCTCTAATGGTGTGGGTTTTTTTTAGGTTGCCTGTGCTTTTTCTCTCTCCGTGACAGTAGCCTTTCTTCTTACACTGTGATGACTGACTTACCATTTTTTGTTCTGAGTTAAAGTTTAAAATGTGTTATGTAAAAAAATGATACTAACTTGTCTCATCCTTTTGGTTTTAGTTTTTGCCCATGCATGCATTTTTAAAAATACAGTATGGTGCTTCCATAATTTACCCCCAGTCACGAAGGGAAGCTTTTTTACTCATTGTTGTTCTGTATATGATTGTTCCATTTACCATGTTGTTTTCTAGTCTCATTGTTTCCATTTAATCTGGAAAGGGAGAAGATAGATCACAACCCTGTGATTTGTATCTTGAAGAAGGAGAGACATGAAAAGTGGAATAAGATTTAGATAAGCAGAAGAATGTTAAGTGTTCAAAATAGATACATTCAAAGGCAAGCAGAAACATGTCTGCTTTCATCTGTCAGTGTGGAAAAGCTGCCAGCAGGCTGCTTCTCATGAAAAAAAAATACAAATTTGTCAGATGCCTGTGGTTGGTGTTTAGGATTTTATGGAATGAGTCATGATGGACACTACTTCTTCAAAGGGTCTGTTCCTGGTCAGCCAGAAGTCGAGGTGCAGTGAGGACCTAGCACGGGTAAGGAAGAGAGGCTGGACATGATGACAGGTTGTGCAAGATAATTGTACCAGATTTTCTTTCAAACGCAGAGCAGTGTATGATCTTGGTTAGTCCAACCAAGGAGGGATGTGACAAAGCTATATATAAAGGAACAGCCAGTCTAGAAAATACCTCCTAGGGTGTTAGGTTTTTTTTTGTTTTTTCTGAGAATGCACAGCACACACAAAAGCTCCAAAGATGGTGCCCTGGAAATTACAAGTGCTGTATTAATAGCTGCTCAAAGGCCTCCTGTCATCAGGCTGTAGAACTCAATACCGCAGGATGTTCCTGGGACCTGTGGAATCAGCACAATGTGATTGGGCACTAATGAGAGAGCAAGCATATTTAGGGTAGTAACTAACAGCAACAAGAATTTTTTGGCAATCAGTAGCAAGTGGTTTCAGCCCTACCATGTTTAGGCAGAGGCAAATTATTGCACGTGTTTCTGTCTTCAGTTCTCCTGCAAAAGAATTGAAACACAAGATTAGCTGGGTCTTAGCTATCATCATCTGTAGAAATTTTCCCCCTTTCTGCTGTTTTCCACAGCTCCAGCTCAGCGAGCCAAGAGGCTCAGTCCCCAATGTGACTCAGTGCAGTGCAGGCATATCTGAGCTAATTTTGAAGCTGTAGACTTCATCTGAGCTGTGGGTTGCGCTCAGAACCACATCACTGAGGGACAGCACTGGCAGCTGTTCCCTCCTCTGAGGTGATGTACCTACACAGGAGCTGAACTGGGTACTACCTCTTGGCTAATTCTCCAGTGTCTGCATGATCATGTGTCTATTTTGCCTAATTCAAACATAATTTCAGATCCAAGCCTAGAAATGGACAGAAGGCCATCCTGCAGGAGATGGAAACCTTCTGAGATGAGGGAAGGTTAGCTGACAGATGGACTGGAGGAAGTGAGTGGGCCTGGGTTTATGGTAAAGGAAATTGCCTAGAAAGTGGGAGTAGCAGCTCCTCACTTTCTCCAGCTGCACAGTGGGATAAAAATTGGTAGCAGCTTAGCAAGATGAGATTACTTTTTGGGGACTGGACAGTCCCTTCTCTTCTGAATACATTGTATTGTTCTAAACAAATAGAAACTACACACCAGAGAGCTTTTGGCATTGCAGAAATAGAAGGAAGGACCCTGACTCCATGTATTTTCTATCCTGGAAGGAACTCCTTTTACATTGCAAAAACCTCAGGCAGAGTCTTCACCTGTCTCATTCTGCCCTTGCTTTATCTGCATAGACAACACTCTTAATTAATTTACCAAAAAAATGTGTTAGAGCAAAAGTGTCATGTTGTCGGTATTGCTCAGCAGCAAGCTGCTTCCGTTGCTCACAGCAAGGCAATGGATGACAGGTTTGCTCTCCATCCCAGTGGCATCTGCTAGTTGCTGAGTTTTTCTCCAAGCTTAGCCACTTTGAGTACCTTTGAGAGAGCTGTTGGTGGCAGTGCTTCGGGATGACAGACCTTATCAATCTAAGAAAAAGAAACTATGAGGTATTATTGTACAGGAACCTCTCTATTTTTCTTTGCTTATTGGATATTTTGGATTCTGTCACTTAAGTGCCTAATCTGTTTCTGAAGGATGAACAGCTGAAGTCCCATGAAGCTAAGCTGAAGCAGATCTCGACTGAGCTTGCTGAACATCGCTCCTATCCTCCTGACAAGAAGCTCAAAGGCAAGGAAGTAGATGATTACAAACTGAAGGACCACTATCTGGAGTTTGAGGTATATATCGGAAACATTATTACTTCTTGGGTGTGGATGGTCTTATATTTGGGGTACAGTCCGGAAGTTCTTAATTTTTCACTTTACTTGCCTAGAAAGTGTGTTCTTGCTAGGCAGAAAAGTCACAGCAATTGCAGATGCTGGGATGTGGCTCTTCTTTCTGGTGAGAACTTCCTTAGTGAATTTAGCTCCCAGTCTGTAACATGGAGGATACAACAAGACTCCTGTCCTTCCTGATGTACCTGTTTGAAAAGATTGCAAGATCTCCTTGCACAAAGTGTCTCTTGTTGTAAAACTGTGTTGCCTAGTGTATTGGAACCTCAGTCTCTAAAGAATGACTGCATTCTGCAGGAATGCAGATCATGGTAATTGTCTTCCATTGGTAGGTTCTGAAGGAACTGATATGCTGAAGTTATTGTCATAGGCATGCCACCCTCATCAAAGCCATTTGTGTTGTATACCACTGAGATGGATGTCAGGATGAGAAGGAAAATGGTACAATTAAAGATCACGGGGTTGAGTGATGCAACTTAGGCAGATGCATTAGGAGATTGTTTTGAGTATCTGACAGCAGCTTTTATCTATAATGGTGTCTGCCACGTTTTAGGACTATGTGGGAATGAATCGGCTACCCAGCAGATGTCTGCTATTTGTTATGACTACGCATTTGAGCTTTTTCCCCCAGGACTGCGAGTCAGTGTTGCCTTGGGTCTGAAAGGATCCTACTCTAAATAGGCACTGCCTGGCAAGGAAAATATGTAGTCTGAGAAAGAGGAAGAGCAGATAAGACAGATGAGACCACCAGAACTGATGCTGGAGGTAACACAGCACAAGCTTCCAGAACTGAAGTAAGCCTTCTGCCCCGTGCTATCAGTTTCTGTTAGAGGGACTTTTTTTAGTCCTGGATTTAAATCATTGCATACTTTTGCTTTTGCAGAAGGTTGACCACTGTGTAACCACTGTGTTGAGTTTGACTTTGCAGTAGCGATGTCCATCAGCATGGCTTTATGGAGGACGAATCATAAGCTGACCAACATGATAGTCTTTTATGATGTGATGTTGGGTGTGATGGACAAGGGGAGAGCAGTGGATGTTGTTTGTTCTTCACTTTTTTGACAAGAATTCTGACATTGTCACCTCTAACGACCTTGTAGTCAAGCTGATGAAGTGGATTAGGAAGTTGACAGCGAGGTGAACAATCAAGATCAAAGGGCTGTGATCAATGGCACAGTGTCAGTTAATTTTGAACAGAGCACTCAGGTACAGAGTAAGCCACAAACTTTATCTCTGGAGGGGATCTTGTCAAACTTGGAAGATCAAGCATTTTCTTAGCTTTGGGTTCTTGACACAAAGTTTATTTTGTCACTTTTAGAAGCTTGGTGAGTTAGGATGAAATGTAGGCTGGGGTGTTAAATGTTTATAGAAAGATTGATGAGGGAGTAGATTGTTGTGGAGATTTTTTCTGTTTCCTGTGAATTTTATCAGGGATAAAATTTATATCCTTTATCTTTAGAGATATTCCTCAGGTACCTCAGTACAAATCAGAACCAGTATAGCCCAGAAAACAAAAGGTATCCTCTTCAGTAGTGAGAGTCTCGAACAGCATTTGAGCTGTGCAGTTCAGATAAATGATCAGCTCTGTATGAGTGCTCATCTAAGCAGGCAAGTTGTGGCAACAGCTTCAGTTACATGGGAGAAATGGTAATTCAGGGTGCTGTTTTGCTGTGCTGTGTTACCTTCACAATAAACACAGATTTCACAGGCCATGTTGAACTATCAGGACACCATTCCAAGGGTCACGAGAGCAGGCAATTCCAAAATATTGGAAGTCAAACAGATGAGGCAGAAGGCTAACTGGGATCTTCTTCTGGAGCTAAGGCAAAAAGGGTTTATGCTGAGTGGAAGCAAGGTCAGGTGGCATGGGAAGGGTGATGCAGCTCATCATTGTAACAAGAAAATTCAGGTGGCCAAATCTTAATTGGAGTTGCATTTGGTCAGAACTATGGGGGATAAAAAGAGTGTTTTAAAAAAAGTGTCAATAAAAACAATGTTTTAAAATATATTAATGGCAAGAGGCAGGGTAGAAATAACATCAGCATCTTACAGGATTAGGACGTTCATCTCACAAATAGGGACATGGACGAGGCAGAGGTGTTTAAGAAAATGCAGTCTTTGCCTCTGTCTTCAATATGGCTGGCAGACCAGGAGGATCTCAGTGTCCTGACATGGAGGACCATGTCTGTGAGAATGCTCCCATTTAACCTTGAAGGTGTGTGGGATCAGCTGTTCCAGCTGGATCCCTGCAAATTTATGGGGCCTAATGAGATTCATCCAGGAAACCTCAAACAGTTTTCTGATGTTTTCACAAAACTTTTCTCGATGATATTTGAGCAGTCTGGATAGATCCCAGATAGTTGGCTGGAAACTGTCTAATGTTTTCCCACTTTTCAAGAAGGGCAAAAAGAATGACACTGGAAACTACAGGTCTGCCATTCTCACTTCAATGCCTGGTAAAACTGAGAAAATTATTCCAGGAAGTACTGGAAAACACCTGGAGGACACTGGAACGATCATCACAGCCAGCACAGCTTCATGAGAGAAAAGTCAGGCTTGTCCAACCTGGTTTTCTTTTATGACAGGATAACCCACTTAGTTGATCAACAGAAGCCAGTTAATGCAATCTTTTTTAATTTCATAAAGATTTTGATACTGTCTCTCTCAGGAGCCTTCTGGAGAAAATGTCCAGCCCACAGCTGGACAAACACATCATGTGGTGGGTGCAGCTCATGGGTCAGGCACAAAGGGCTACAGTGAATGGGGTGGCATCAGACTGATGTGACCTGTCACTAGTGGGGTTCCACTGTGCTCCATCCTTGGCCCTGTGCTCTTCAACATCTTCATAAATGACTTGGACACAGGACTGGAAGGGATACTGAGCAAGTTTGCAGATGATACAGAACTGGGAGAAGCTGCTGACTGCCTTGAAGGCAAGGAGGCCCCCCAGAGAGACCTTGACAAATTTCAGGGCTGGGCAATCACCACCTGTATGAAGTTCAGCAAGGGAAAGTGCTGGATTCTGCATCTGGGATGGGGCAACCCTGGGTGTATGGAATGAGAAAGTGGAGAGCAGTGCCATGGAAAGGGACCTGTTCAAGGGCAAGTTGAATATGAGTGAGCAGTGCCCTGGCAGCAAGGAGGGCCAGCTCTGTCCTGGGGTGCATCAGGCACAGCATCAGCAGCCGGGCAAGAGAGGGGATTGTCCCACTCTGCTCTGCACTGGGGCTGCCTCGCCTCAAGTGCTGGGGGCAGTTTTGGGCTCCTCAGTATAAGAAAGATTGAAGCCCCAAAGCGTCCAAAGGAGGGCAATGAAGATTATGAAGGGCCTTAAGGGGAAGCCGCACGAGGAGCAGCTGAGGTCTCTTGGTTCAGCCTGGAGGAGAGGGACTGAGAGGAGACCTTATTGCAGTCAACAATTTTCTTGTGAGGGGAAGAGGAGGGACAGGCACTGATCTGTCTGTGATGATGTGTGGGAATGGTCTGAAGTTGTGTCAGGGCAGCTGTAGGCTGGACATTGGAGAGAGATTCTTCTTCACCCAGAGGGTGGCTGGGCACTGGAACAGGCTCCCCAGGGAAGTGATCACAGCAGCAGCCTGACAGAGTTCAGTAAGCATTTGGACAGTGCTCTCAGGTACATGGTGTGATTCTTGTGGATGGTCCTGTGCAGGGCTAGGAATTGGACTGGATTATCCCTGTGGGCCTCTTCCAGTTCTGTTTATTCTATTATTCTGTGAGGCAGTAAAAATCCCAAACCAAACCTAAATGTTGAGCTGTATGAAAATTGTGAATGGAAACTTTGTGAATGGAAAGCTACCCTTTAGAACAATATCCTGTCGGGATTGTCAGGAGTGATGAAAGAGATTGCTGCAGGAGGTTAAATGAAAAGGGCAAGGGGCCGGTGAAGGTGGGATTTTTCAACTGTCTCTTCAGGCTGAGACAGCAGGCTAAACCTGGTGTCTGTGTACAAAGGGCTATGCTGACACATCTCAGGAAACACACCAAAAGGGCCTGTAAGTCCCTAAGGTAGCAGCATAGTACCATTAGCAAGGAAGATGCCATTTTCTTTTCTGTACGTCCTTACATTTTCTTTCTGTTTACACACTGGTGATGCCTTCATTCTTGTTCCTGGTGAAAGACAAGTGAGATGGAGGGGAGGTGAACCAGGAGGTAACTGGTCCTTGTTCAGGTATGCAGCCAGTAGCATTTGGTTTTGATGGTGTCTTTGCTTATACACACCATGGAAGGAACAGCTTTCATTGCCTGCTCTCTGAGGAAGTACTGTGTCAGATTGCAAAAAATTTGTTGCTTACTGCAGAAAATTTATAGTTAGAGAAGTATCTTTTGAGTGCTGTCAGGTTAGAGGTGAAGCCAGAATACTGATGTGTGGCTGCTTCATACTTTATTATGTGCATTCATTCTTCAGAGATAGTGTTGCAGAAGCTTTTGAATGGTTTCAACTTCTAGGGTTTTATTTCTTGACAGAATTTCTGAATTAATTTCTTTTAAGCTAAAATTTCCACTAGCATTTACCTAACTTCAAATGTCAGGTCACTGAAAGACCAACTTTGTTGTGGTTGAAATCAAAGGAGAAGTGTGTTGATTAATTGTAATAGAAATCAAGGGCCCACAAAGTCCAGGGGAAAATGGACATTTGTACACATGCAGGTCCTGGATTTCCATTCTGATTGCTGAGTCTTGAGACTCTGGTGGTATTTACTGGACTAGTAAAAGCATAAATCTGTACAACAGTAAAGCCCCCCCTCTCAATTTCATGATATTACACTGTTCCCAATCTAAGAGCACTGACTGGCCTTTTGCAGAAGCGTCTGGTTCATTTTGTGATGAATCATCCATCAGCTCAGTGCATCATCGTCAGGGTTCTTCTTGCTGTTTCTTCATTTCCATTTTTATTAAATGACACATCTTACCTGCTTCATGTGTTTGTCTCTCACATTGTGGAGCTGCATCTCCAGATATGGAAGTCATAGGAATGCTTATTTATTTAATTTGTAGGAGGATTCTGTTATGATTCTCCTCTATGAGGATTTGTTTATTCGAAGGATTCTCAAAAGCCTGTCATGTTCTCTTCTTTTTTTCCCCCCCTTTATATTCCACACTTCAAAGCGGTTACCAAGCTTTTTGACTTCCTGCCCTTAAATAAATGTTTTTACTAGAACTGTATTATTTTATTAGAAAATGTAAAATATTTTCTTAAATACTTTTTCCCTCTGTCAGGAGCATAATAGCTTGGCTGCTGTTTTGCTATTTTCAAATAAAAGTTAACAATCAGTACAGATATTTACATCCACCTTCCCTGACTCCCAGCACACTGAGATCACTGAAATTACAATGTCTGCACCATGTCTTTAGAGCATATATCAGGGGCAGGTTATTAAATAAATCCTATGAAGTGGATTGCTCTGTTCTCAGGACCTCCTGCCCCAACATCTGTTTTTGAGACCCTTCAGGGGTCTTCTGTTACTGTACCCACATTTTCTTCCCTGCCGAATTGTGTTTTGGAAAATGATGTAATTGTAGCAAACAGAATGAAATCTTCCTGTTGGAGAGGGAAAACTCTGGTCCGGACAAGGAGTAGAACAAATGGACATGGGACACAGTAAAGTGAACTTTTTCCAGTTGAAAAACACAAATGTCTGGACAGACAGCAACCTTCATCATTCCCTGTTTTCCAAGGGAAACATGCCTTGCTGCTGTCATAGCCCTCTCATCTGCTCCTTCTTGTTAAGGTCTGACCTTTTACAAGATTCTCTCATGTGCCTAGTGGTGGCCATGCTGGTACAGTCTGGACTTGGACCCTGCTTTGGTTTCTCCCCTATGAATAAGAAAAACAGGACCTGCTGGTGGGAGTGGACGATTGCAGCAGAGCAGGATTTTTGTTGTCCCTTAGTCTAGTGCACTTCATCTCCATTCGTGCCTGAGCACATAGGATCTCAGTATGTGTGAGCACAGCTTTGGTATCAACATGACTAAAGAAAACAAGCTTTCATTTGGTGATGTTACTTGCAATGGGAGCCACCACTCATCAGGGCATCAGAATTTGCATGCTGCAGAACTGAGTGCCTCTAATTACACAGCACCCCAGGCTTCAGTCTGCCTGAAATCCTCTTTGTTTAATTTATATTAGCCACTGTTGTTCATATCCACATTAGGCACCATTGTTCACATACATGTTGAGCTCCTGGCTTTCAAGGCCAGCAGAAAGCATTAAGTTACTTAGGTGGTCTCTCATGTGCCCCTGCAGAATTTCTTCCAGACTGATTTGGGCCTTTCTTTTCATTTCCCAGAAAAATCGCTATGAGATTTATGTTGGCCTACTGAAAGAAGGGGTGAAGGAGCTGCTGAGCGGAGGAGAGAACGATGCGCCAGGACTGAAGAAATCACACTCAAGTCCTTCTTTGAATCAGGAGTCGCCAGTTAGTGCCAAGGTGAAACGCAATGTCTCAGAGAGGAAGGACTACAGGCCAGAAACACCTAGCATTAAGCAGAAGGTCACTTAGGGTGGAAATGACAACTAGGGGAACAGCCGTGCAGCAAAGTATTGGTGGTCAAAATTTTTTCATTTAATAACCTGTCATTCACAAAAAATAAGTGCATCTGCCTGAATGGGGTGTTAGTGACATTTTCTATTGTATATTTTGCTGTTTCTGTGCAGATTGTGGGAGATGTCTTTGCTCCTGCTTTGCTTTGCTTTGTTAATTTATCATTTAGCAATTGAAACATCGGGACTTTTTTGTGTTATTCTGTTTCTAAAGGAGCTGGGGAAGGGGTAGAACGCTGTGATGTTTATTCTGTCTCCTCCCCGTTTATCTCCTCCCATCGGCATGTGGCTTTCATCTCTCAAGTCACTTGTCACTTTATTTACGTGGTGGGTGGGAAAAATAACTGGACAAGTGCTGCAGTGCTGTGAATGCGAGCTGTAGCTGTGAGAAAAGCTGTGCAAACGTGCAGCTGCAGAAGGCTGACTAGAGGCTTAGGGTGCTGGGAACACTAGTTTCCTGACAATGTGGGGCATGTTGGTACTGGTACTTAGCAGCAGATGGTACAGTAAATAGTCACTGTTGCTTATTGTTACTGCATTGACCCTGGACACTTTGTGAGTGTGAAGGATTGAAACCTGGAAACCCCTGGCAATGCTGAGATGATGGCGTTGGAGTAATTTGTTTGTTTCCTTCCAAGCAGAGAACCTTCTCCTGAGTTTGCAGGCTGGAAGGCACCCAGACCCATGCTGTCTCTGCAGTCAGGAAGATTAGGGATTACCCAGTTGGAATGGCTATCTGGGCTTCACATTTTTTTGCAGAGAGGGCTGCTGTAGATGTCAGCCATTAGCATTATATATTAATTATATATATTAAAGACAAAGGGCCTCTGTGTAGTTTTTAACTATACGCTCTCACTTAGCTGCTATATAGAGCCTTATGATATATTGTGTCATGTCGCTTCCCCTTCCAGGGGTTCCTTGTCGGTGTGCACAGAGAGCTGCTTTCAATTCCTCTCATAGTGACAAAGCACTTTGCCTTTCTTCTTCAGAACGGGATTCTCCTCAGTTCTCCATTTTCCTTCTTTAGCTCACATATAGGTGGAAGAGGCTGGTGCCTCCTGCATATCTCCTGTGCCAGGCTTTCCAAGGGGAGCACAGGTCTGGGAGAGACCACCATGGGTAGGTCTTTCCATACCTGAAAGGCCCTTGTTTGTGCCATAGACCCTTGGGGTGGCCAGCAGTTTCCAAGCACAGAGAGCAGAAAGATGACGTAGTAGTAATTTTCCTACTTCCCAGCCCCTCTTGTCTGGGCAGTCTCATGGCTCTGCAGAGAGTGATGGCTCTCCTGTTACCTAACCTGTTACCTGAGTTTTAATCTCAGTTTTCATACTGGCCCACAGGGTGAGCTTGGATAGGTGTCTCCCATTTTGTATCACCCTTTCTCTATATGAAGTAGTACTACCAAACTGGCCTTTCCCACAGAGCGCCTTGGGAGATAATGTTGAGGGCCAGTTGAAAATTGCTCCTTGCTGTTTGTTCTGTTGTGCCTGGCACAGGACAACCTTCTTGTTGAATTCAATTCTTGATGCATATAGAAACGTCAAGATCAATGCAAGGACTGTTTAGAAATGCACTGGTGTTTTCAGCCCAAGTAGTAAAAGGGCCACACATCAAAAAAATTGCTACCTGAGTGGATGTGTGTTCTGTCAGGCTTCCCAAGGGTCCTAATCAATTAATCTAGTTTTATTGAGCTGCTAGTCCAGTGGGCAGAACTAGGAGTGATCAAAGAGAAAAGGCCTTTAGCAGGCACTGCATGATTTGCCTTCCCTACCAAGTACCACCATGCAACAGCTTTCCTAGTGTTGTTCCGACTGTTGGCTGTAACAATGATGTTGCACTCTCAGATGTGAGGTTTTGGGGCAAATTGATCCTTACAGCTGCAGTCTGGCAGCAAAGCCAGATGAGACATCACACGAGTGATGTTGGGATGCACATCAATCTGGCATCTGCCACAGCTGGGGAATGCTGAATACACCTTTGGGAAGAAAATTTGACCTCCCTGTTACGATTAAGGAGTGATATTTAGTGTTCCCACTGAGCCTGTCCAAACTACATGGCCCTGGGTCACTCCCTCCTTCCCCTCCCCATCCTTGCAGTGGGCTGGAGAAAATTTGAGGCATAAAAGGCAAAGATCACAGGTTGAGATAACAATTTACTGGAAATGGCAATGAGACAAGAAAATGAATGGTAAACAACAACAGTATTAATAACAGAGTGTTCAAGAATGCTCACCATGCAGAACCCAATACCCAACCATTTGTGACCCAGAAGGGACATCTTCTGTTCCTGGAAAATGACATGAGGTGGTATAGAATAACCTTCAAGTCCAAGCCATGCTCCTGCTGGGCTACTGCATAAATTAGTCCTGGCCAGAACCAGTACATCATTCTCTGAATTATTTTATATAACTATAGGATACATGCAGCAGAAGCAAAACCCAAAAAAGGTGCAGATCTATAAATGGCCCTGCTTGGCTGTCATGGTTGGGTGAGTAGATGATCTTTTTGAAGGCAGGCTAGAACATGCTTGGCAAACCTCTTGTGTTTATGGAGTGCAGTGCTTCAAAAGGCAAAGAGGTGACATCTAACTTTCTTCTTCCCTGGTTTTAAACGTGTTTTGGTTGCTGAAAATTCCAGTTAAATTGCTGAGCTCAAAAAGATACTGCTCTTGTTAAATGCATTTTCCAGCTTTGACACAGAAACTGGGTAATTCCTCTTCAAAGTCATTGCAGAAAAGATGATTTGAAGCCATAGGAAAAATCAAAAAGTGAACTGCAAAAAATATGGTTTTTTTCATTATTTATTATCTATTTCCATGTATACTTGTAAACATAGAGTATTTTTTTAGGTCTCATCTGAGTGTATCAAATGAAGTTTTTCACTGCATTTTTTACTCATTAAACATTTGTTGAGCTTACAGCAGTCTTGCTGAGATGCTGAGGCGTGCAGATCAGTTTACCCAGAACTTATAGTATCTACTTCAGTTTTAATTAATACCATTTTCCTTTGTTGCTTTACAATCTATAAGCATCCCAGGTACCTGTGTAGAAATGCACGCTTTGGAGAATAAGAAAAAAGAGTGATCCTCTTGTGAAAATCTAAGACTCCTGCCCTCCCTTGGGAATAGGTTCATCTACCAATTAGTACTGTAATTATTTTTTTTCCCTCCTGATGATACTATAAAGGATAGGGCAGGTTCTCAGTTGGTCTAAGTGGTGCATCTCCTTGAATAGCACCATTAAGAGTCTGACCAGATAACTTTGCACGGTACCCTGCACCCTGCCTTTCTTTGCTGAAATGTTTGCCTTTGGGGAAGATCAGTGCTTGATTGCAGTGACTCAGTAGCTCTGATTGCAGTGTGTAAAGATATTCTGCTGGTTTCCAGCCCACCTCTGGGACTTGAGCTGCAAATCACTGGAGCAGCCTGCAGTTTCCTGGGTGTACTCAGTGTAAGGAGTTACTGGCTGGCCGCCATAAGCATGTGTGCTTGTGGGAGAGCCTTTGCATGGGTGGCGCAGGGAGGTGTCATCCTTCCTTGTCACCCTCCTGCTCCACTGTGCTATCCTTGCTCAGGCGAGGCCTCTGCCTGCATGTAGAGAGTGGGGATGTAAAGACGGGGAGCAGGCTAAGGCTAACACCTCCTTACTCTCCCTTTCTTAAGGTGCAGACAGTGGTTCTGGGGGGACCCACCCGGCTCTGAAGCGTTGCTGGCTCCAGAGACTGAACTGTTTGCTATCCCCAGCTAAGGGAGGAAAGACAGGAAAGGGTCCCACTAGTCTGCACCTGACAGCAGAGGGCCTATGGAGAAGGGAAGAACTGCCTTCCCCTCTCTCCATCCAATGACCAAAGTGGGTGAAATACTCTTCTGAAGCCAATACCATACTCTCCTCTATAATTCAGCAGGATGCAGGGGACTGTTTGAGATTTTTTTCATCAGTGGCTGCAAAAGAGTCTCCCTGGACTAGTTGTGTGTTTGTCTGCATCTTGCAGATTAATTACGTATGAACCAGTGAACATGACTACAGCCTCTAAATCCAGTATTTATGTTGTGTCTTCAGTTGATGTAGAGTGGTAAGTCAGCCAGCAGAGTGATTAATGCAGCAGAGTTGTACAGGAATGCTGTTCAGCTGCGTTGCCAACTCAAGAGTTTTTCATCTGTAGCCAGACACTTGTAAATGGTTACCAGAAATTTTCTAATGATTAGTAACAGCTTCTCACTAAAGTACTTTCCCTCTGATCCTGCCTGCTCCCAGGTTGCAGTCTGTCTGTATTAAGGGGCTCTCATGTAGAGCTGTGCTCTGCACAGCCCTGCTTTGAGGAGGAGTTTGGCCTAACAGACCTCCAGGGACTGGAATTGTTCAGTGACATTTGACAGTTCCAATGCCTTCGAATAACAAGGCTGGTTGCTCTTATGGCTTGAAAAACCCAAAACTTTTGCCTTTCTCCAATGGGGAAATGAGGTTCTTGCTTGACTGGAGTAGGCCATTCAGTGAAGATGTGGTTATGGCAGTAGAAGAAGTCAGAGATTACAGGATTATCATCAGGCTTCTTGGGGGCATTGTATGGCAATGTTCTCCTTGGAAGTGGGAATGGCTTTTCTCTGCAGATGGCTTACTGCTTACTTTGTCTGCATTCTCCATTTTTAAATTAATTTTGGTCTTATTGCAGTTAGTCTGACAGCTCCTCCTCCTTTTCTGACAAGCTACACTTGTCTGTCATCTTAGCACCTCAGCTGCTTCTGTATAACAGGTTTGTTTCCTTCCAGGCTTGCAGAAATCCAAAAATTTGACTCTCCCATCTTGCATTGAGAAAACCTGCTCTGAAGCAGTGCTGCATTGAATGGATAACCCTGTGAACAGCTTTTTCACTCTGCTTGTTGGTAGCCTGTGTTTCCAGCCACAGTTATAGCTGGGAGGTGCGAGACCGAGTTTTAGACTGCCATGATTCTCTAGTTGTATGCTGCAGGGATGCTGAGTCCCCCTTCCCACACTTGACACCAGACACTTGCAACATTCCCACTCTTCTAGTATCCACGTTGGAAACACTGGCTGCTTCTGCAGGGTCAAAGGCAGTATACACATCTTATGCCAAGAAACCTTGCAGCTTGCTGCTTGTTGAATTTTCTTCAGTATTGCTCTACCCAGGCTCTGGGACATCACATCTGCTCTGAGGGGGCAGTTAAGAAGTCCGCATTTCTCATCAGAGCACAATCATTGCTCCCCATCATGTGTTCTCAGCATCTGTTATCTAGGCTTCTTAAGGGGAACCACAGAAGCTGTTTCAGGAAAAGCTAGTCTGCAGCTTGTGCTTTTTAAAGGATATTTTTAGTGCATACAGAAGCAGTACGTCTGCTCTGCTCTCTCCCAGAGCTCTCCCAGCAGCATAGGTATAGCATAGTGGGTTGCTTCACCTGGAGCTTCACTGTGGAGACCTGAACTTCAGGAAGAAGAGGCTTTGTCAGCCTTCAGAGAAATGCTACCACCTGAACTGAGCATCAGTGCACAGGACAATGATGCTGTATGAAGAAGCCAGTGCCACCCTCCATGGATGGTCACCTGCTGGAGACTGTGAGCTCTAGCATTGCCCTCAGTGTTGGAGGTAATGAGGAATGGTGGCTTCCTTTTCCATCTAGTCTGTGCTGAGGAACTGTCTTTACCACCCGCTACTTTTCTCCCTTGTGACAGCAGCACCCTTATCCAAAGATACCACAGTCCCTTTGTAAGAAGACTGGTTTACATGAGAGCAAGGAGGAGAGGTCATTGGAAAAAGTCTGAATGCCATCTGGGAGTATCTGCTCTGCTGATGGCAGCATACAGTTAAACATTGAAAGGAGGCAGACCCAGCCTTGCCTGAGAGAATGTCCCTTGCTCAGTTTGTTAGCTGAATTAAGGTTGTGTTTTAGTTATTTATTAGAGCGCATCCCTTACCAAATGCAAGCAAAAACTTTCACAAAGATTCGACCATTGACTTGACTTTGCCCTTGTGGTCAAAAGGAGCAAATTCAGGCTAGTCCAAGGTGTTCTCTCTTGCCTGCCTTTGAACGCTTAATTATTCCATAAAAATAATAGATGTTTAATCAATGAAGATCGCTCCATGGCATCTGCTTTTAAAGCGAGCCAGGAACCAGCTGGGGTATAGGCCAGAGGTTTATTTGGACCAATAAAGGTACATCACTTAGCAATGCAAGCACTGAAAGTGCAACAAGCCGCAAGGGCAGGATTTTTCTCTGACATAAACCACTGTAATTAGTAGCCACTCTAGCAGTGATCCTGTCTAACTCACCTAAATGAGACTAGCACAAGAAGACAATTTTTGTCTAAACAGGCAACATTTCAGCTTAGGCCAATTGATATCATGGTGTAGTGACAGAGCAGCTAGCTAAGCTGCCATGAAGACTTGTTTGGCACAAAATCCTCCAACTCCCCTTATCCTCTTGCTGGGAAGAAGGAGATAAATGCTATTGAGTCTGTGTCACCACACAGTGCAAACTCTACTGGTAATATAAGTCTTAACTCACAGACTTACGAAATTCTCATACTCAGAGCTGTCAGATGCTGAAAGACTGTAGGATGAGAACAGGGGTGGGTTGTGGTAGGGTTTTTTTTTAAATTTGTACATATTCATGACAACTGTGTCCTCTTACTTGAGTCTAGAATTATAATTTGGCTAAAAGGACAGAGTTTTTTGGGTGTTGAAAAGCTTTAAAATCACTCCTCTGTGTGAGGTACACTCTGAGACTTATATTACTTGATGAACATGTTTAAGTGATGCCTATAGATGTGTGTATTTCCTAAGTATAGTATGGCTTCTATGGCTCAGCACTGCAGAACCTGCTGTTCTTTTCTGAGGCTTGTTTGGTCAAAGCACTTCAGCAGCTGCAAACATTGTTAGGATGCTTGTTGTTCTAATTGTTCTCAAGTGAGGTTAAACAGCTATCAGAGCTTTTGCAGATTTAAAGTATACTTTGAGCTGCCTTCATCTTCATGTGTTGTCCACCAGGGGCTGCCTGTTGTTTTGCATGTTGAAAGCAAGGCATATATTTGAGAGTCTAAGCAAGAGCTAGTGGGTGGAATTTTCTGCTAGCTTAACACTGGGCTGACTTTCTCTCTGTTTATATCAGCTGATGCCTGTACAAGGAGCATCCATGCTGACTTCTTCTGAAAATCGTGCTCTGGGGATCTAATACACAGCTTTACTTCTGAAAACGTTGACCTTGCTCTGTGAAAATTCGGCAAAGGGACATCATGTCCAGAGTGTCTGAGAAGGACAGGTGCCTGTGATGTCTCCTGCAGATACAGCAGTGCAGCAGTAGTGAGGGGTCTTTTTTCATCAACTGTTCAAATTTCCAGAAGAGTGGCTCATCAGTAGGGAAGAGAAGAGCAACAGGGCTGAAATGATGTATCTTGGGCATCTCTTATGCCTCCCAGAGGTTTCTTTTGAGAGCATTGAGCAACCTTTTAACAAGTTGCTGGTCTGAGGAAAAAGACATAGGGAAACCCACTGAGTTTTCCTGTTGTGTTCTAGTAAGGGCAACAGTAGCATGATCTGCATTATTCTAGAAAGAGAGAGCAAAAGTCGAGGGTGCGATTCTTCCCTGGGGACATAAAACTCTTATCATGCAGTTAGGTTGAAGCACTTGAGCAACTTCAATAGTGAAACTATGCCTTTGCACTTCACTGGACCACAGCTAGAGTGATTGCGCCTTGCAGAACTGAGATGTGAGTGAACTGCAGCTCAGAATGAAATGAAGGAGACCACTGTGTAACCGTGCTTTGGACAAGCTGCAGCCCTGTAATCTTTTTTCGGGTACTGGGCTTCTCCCTTGGGTTTCCTGCCCTCCATGGTGATGGGAAGATGTGGGTGAGCACTGTCAGTTTCAGAGTCGCAGTTAAGAAGTGTCATTTACCCACTACCTGAGCTGTTGCTATGTTGTTTTCCCTTAGGCTGAGAAAGAGGACTGAATTTTCAGTCAATGTTGCTTGGTAGCCAGTGGGGAAGCATAACTCAGCAGTGGTGATGCAGAAAAACATTTTGCACATGTGTGTACATACACCTTAGACATCTCTTGTGTGCAGAACTAACGTTACAACTTGACAACAGTCCTTGCAAGACCTTTCCTCTGGGTGGTCTCCAATCGCTTCTGTGATGTGTAGGAACCTTATTTCTGGTAACCTTGAATTCAGTTTACTCTCATCACTGAATTGCTGGAGTGTTTTTCATGTAATACACTAGAGACAGTCCCAGTCTCACCACTTTGTGGTAACTTCTTGGTCTGCTGTGAAGCAACAACATTGAGGTAGCCATTAAGTCTTTTCCAGCAGCATGGAACTTGCTGTTCTGACTCTTGGGGAGGTCATCATCTCAGGTTTGACACTATCCTACTACCAGGACACCCTGTTTTGTCCCTGGGAATAGGCATGGCCAGAAAAGCATGCTGGGTGGTTAGAGTCAGAGCTGTGCAGACTTAAGTCAATCCCTGATTCAGGGAAGATTTTTCCATGTGCTGCTGATGTCCATAAGGACTCAAACATATACTTGCTTACACAGAGATGCTTTCCTGAAGCAGAGTTGTCACTCTTTTCTACAGGTATCACAGGATGCCCTCCCTTATTCTGCTTCATGTATCTGGTACTAGAATGATCATTTCCTGATAAATGAAGGCACTTAATCAGTCCTCTTCCCCTTGGAAGAAGGACTTTTGGGGATATTGTTATATCATTTAAAATAATATTTTGGAATTTAAGTTTACATTGCTTTATTTTTCACTTGAGGTGACTGTATATAAATATTTTCCTCTATTTTATCATTGCTGATAAAGTAAGCCTACAGTATACAGACAAATAATTTGCCTTTGATGTATTGAAACTGTGAGATAAAAAGTAGATTTCTCTCTTGTGTCCATGTTCCTGACTATAACTCTGTTCCTCTGTGTTTTTATAAGTTGGAATAAATGTTGCTTACGGGCAACAAAGAGCCTGCAAGCTTCCCAATAATTTTTGTCATTGAACTCAAGCAACCCTATTGAAGGATCTCACATATGTATAATGATATATGTATATGTACAAACTTTAGAAAGAAATAAACCAAATGTATTTCACATTCTGCAGCTGAATGTTTTTTATTTGAACCCTAACAGTTGCTCTTACAAGTAAGAACAAGAAGGTGGCTTTACAGTGGCTGACTGTCCTGCTTCTGACTCTTGGAAGTCAGTAGTTTCAAGGTTTTCTGAGCTGAAGCATACATGTACTGTCTGCCTTACAGTCTGGATCTGACCTGCAGTTGGGGAACCAATGGAGCCAGTGGCAATTCGTGCACATTAGTCGTGTGTGAGGGCAGCTGGAGCACATCTCTTTTCCTTCTGCACCTGTACAGGAGGTGGCATCCCTTCCAGTTTTGTCAGGGTGTGTAGCCTACCACTGCTTGCAGTGAAGAGACAGCAAGAGGAGAATTAACTGATTTAAAATGGGTTTACCAGCGTGTGGATTAAAGGACAGAAGCTGCAGCAAACAGCTGTTCAAAATGACTGGGAGTTGATCTCAACATTTATATGAAGAGGTCACAGTTGAGGTTGGGAATTGCTGCTGACATGGCACGTAGGAAGAAAGGACCCATGAAAGTCAGAAGACTCAGACACTAAAGAAAAAGATGGAGTGTAAAAAGGCAGAGGTGGGAGTGGTTAAGAAACTATGCCTATCCAAAGTAAGGAGAAGCACTCTGTGCAACACAAAGCAAACAGCGTTGTGCTTGCAGTTCTTGGGTTGGAGGTAGCTCAACATGGGAAATTAGTACTCTGTATGGAGGGTGGGTCACAGGGCATTTGGAGAGGATGGGTGGGGCATGCCCAAGATTTACAACAGGGCTAGCAGCTTGTACTTGGAACAATAGTAAAAAAGACATCTTGTTTCTTACCACGATTTCTGTGAATGTTTAACTATCTTGAGGTGACTGTTTCTTTATATTTTTCCTCAGCATGTTGCCTTTAGATGAATGGTAAGACTTTCACACTTGAGATAGCTCTGTGTGTGTTTTCGGTTGTTTGTTTGTTTGTTGTTTATTTGTTTGGTTTTTCACACTATGCCTTGGGGTATCAAATTTTTTCACTGTTGTACCATCCTGCATTGCTTCAGAGCATTGGGATTTTTTACTCCAATGCAGGCTTCTGGATTAATACGTTTTTAATGAAAAGACTAAACAAAGTGGTGGTAAGGATGGGTGGGAGTATTTTACAAAGATGTATTAAATGCCTCCTCTAAGCCCAAATGAATGTTTGAACTGTGTCTGAATGTTAATGTCAGTACTGCTCACCACATCTTTTCTTACTGTTTCTTCCTAGCTGACAGAGTCAACACTGAGAATTTTCTGGTGGTTTTTCTACCTGGAATCATTAGTCACATCACGTTGCTCACAATGCAGTGAGCTAGAATAAAATGACAGAACAGGTGCAAACTGAAAGACAAATGCATTTATATTCTCTTCATTGTCCGTTTTCAGTTCAAGTTTCCAAGTACGGAATATAATTATCAAGGAAGAATGAAAAGGCTAGTTTGTGTATGCAGGAGAAACCTCCACAGTCTACAGCAGCTACACATTATTTGGGTATTCATAAATAATGTAGCATGAGAAAGAGACTTAGCTCAAAGTGATACACAGTTTGGTGTGAAATTTTCATGATTATCTGTAGATTGGAAATGAGAAGAAAGTTCTTACCCATCAGAGCACTAATCTACAAGGTAAGGGCAAAAATACCCAGGTGCTTTTAAGGTAGAGCTGGAAGAGAAATCACGTGATGATAACCCAGGTTTTCATTTTTCAGGTCATTGCACATTGCATCTGTTTCTTTCCATGTTTGCTACTAAATTGATGTTTCTCAAATTATGTCAGCCACTATGCTAACTATTTCTCCCAGAAAAAGGGCCATCCTAGAAAACATGAGTTACTACAAAACAGCTATCCACCTTGCCAGGTTTTCTGTGTTATGGTGGCATTCATTTTAGGACATTTTTCCTGGTCCCATTCCACAGCTAGTTTTTGGATAGATCAGTACATAAATGATGTGGGGTTTTATTTTAATGGCTTGCTCCTCACAACAAGATGCAAAAACAAGGCGCTAAACTGGGACCAGATGAAGGAATCAAGACTAAGTAGACTTTCTTGCCTTGGAGAATGTGGTGGTGATATGTTGCTATTATGAAATGGAAGTTTGTGGGGATGTTTTTGTCCCCTCTTCCCAGGCAGGGTGTAATAAAAGGCTGAGTTTGCCCCAAAAACAGCCTTGGGACGTTCAGACCTGGGACTGGTTTTGTTGAATTTGGCCAGTGAGGATAAACTGACAAGGGGTGTGTCTTAGGGAGGAAGGGGAGGCACAAGAGTGGCAAAAAAGTTTTTCCAGGCAATGGAAACAGTAATGAATAAAGCAAAAAAATCAGATAAAGAACAAAAGAAGAGGAAACTTTCTGAAAGGAGGAGTGCACGTATATTGCTGATTTGCAGCCTGATCTGCCAGGAATTCCCTTCAGGAGGACTGTGAGAAACTTTCTTTGAGAGGTTGGGCTTCAGAGGGATAGATTTTCACTGTGGTGATACGTCATATAAAGAGGTAAAATGATGGATGTGTAAGTAAATAGTTGATGTATGTGATTCATAAGATTTAAGAGTGTGAAATAAGCACTTTTTGTAATTGTGTGTAATAGGGTGGAAAATAGTATAATTGTAGATTAGCAGTAGGTATGTGTTTGTTTGATAATCAGTATATTGATTACTTAATAGACTGACCAGTTACTCAGTAGTGTGTCGCTTAATCACTGAAGCCTGTAATTTTGTTATAGCACTTACTTCTTGACCTTGCAATCTAAATGGTGGGGGTTCTTCCTAAAGAAGCAGTTATATTGAAGGAAGAAACATTTCCTACCTAATCTTAACTTGCTTCAGCCACAACACATTGACCATTGCAAGGACGCTTGCAGGAATGTTTGTAAATATTTGAATTATGCCAGTGACCACAGGCCACAAATCTCAAGAATGCAAGCAGCATAGAAATGACCTATTGGGAAAGTAAGGTTTGTGAAAACAAGGTTCTCAGGGAAAGACTTTCATAGTGTACAAGCACTGTTTTCTCAGCTAACACTGCCTGTCTGCATGTGTAAAGGTACTGAAGAGCCTTTATCTTTATGATGTGCAGTCTTAAAATGTAGGGGAAGTGTACAGATGGCTAAAAATCTGTGGAAGAGAGCAGAATATAGCATTGAAGACTGAAAACTCTGTGGAAAAGAAGATCGCAAGATGGATTTGCCCAAAGGGAGAGGATTTGTTTGAAAACCAGAGGTAAGACAAAAACTGAACAAGACTATAAAGAAAAAGCATGGGAGGCAACTGAACAGTACACAGATTCATTTACCACTTGTAAAAGACAATCCATTAATAGGAAAGGACCAGCCTCTTGTAAGGCTGCCTAACCACTCCCTTTACCAGAGTGCTCTTTGGTGAAAAGTTCTTATTCCCCCATTGTTTGCAGAGGCATTTTGAATACTGCCAGGGCTTGCCATAGGATCGGGAAAGCATGCTGTGTGCTGGCCGTTAGGGGTCAAATTCTCAGAGTTAGCCAAGCCAAGGTAGATATTCCTTCCTGCACCCGGTATCTTGGAACACAGCAGCATGCCTGGGGCTGCACACTGTCTGCTGGATGGGGCGTGTCTTTGCAGAAAGGACAGAAAGAAAACCCAAAATGCAGCTGAAGCTTGTTTTCCACCGTTGCTATACTAAGATTGTTCAAAATAAGTGGTTTAAGGGGGTGGGTATCATTTGCTTTCTTCCTCTCCAAGAAATGTTTTTTGTTCAGCCAGAAATCATCTTTCTGCTCTACCTCACTCAGAAATACAGTGTAGATATGCCCCATCAGCTCTTCGGAAGGTTTGGAATATTTTTAGCCACCTTGGGCAACTCTCTCCTCTGCCCAAATGTCCAGTGTAAAATAAGTACACTTCTTCTTTTCTTCAGTCAGGACTTGTAAACCAAGATGTGTGTTGCTGAGCACTTGCTGTGAGTGCAGTCTTCAGCACAGACATGTGCCCTGTCCTTTGAAAAGAAATTATTTTGATCGAGGTGGTGGCAGGGATGCTGCTGTGAGGGTGAGTGTGGAAAATGCTCCTGTCCAATCAGAAGTGCATGTGTGATACCTAGGTCTTCCTGTTCCATCCCATCTTGGGCTGAACTGTGCTGAGCACCCTGTAAGTACAACTACTGAGACAGGGATGGATGGAGCCAATGCCATTAGCAGCATAATTACCTGAGTAATAAAGACACTAGAGATGCTCACCTTGGCAGAAATTTGCAGTGTTCTGTGCCTGGGACAGAAATACTTTCCATGTCTAGCTGCTGGGACAGTTCGTGGGGGCCTTGCAGCCAGCCAATGATAGCAAGAACGGTGTAAAACCCGAGTCCTATTACCACAGCCTTACCCACGCTGCGTTTCTTAGGCAACTGCAATGTGGGCGGCAGTCAGAGGTTGTAATTGTTTCATGAGGGGAAAGAAAGCCCATATACATACACACGCAGAATTAAGAAATGAAGTGCTCTTTCCTTTTAGCTGCAATTTCTGACTTCACTTTGGACAAATTGTCAGGATCCGCATTCCCACTGGCAGGGAGCCAGGCTCCCTGGCACTCTGATTAAACGGTGTGTGGGCAAAATGTAGGCAGATGATGGGGACTTGGTATATTGAAACCTTACAGAGCTGTGTTTTTCTTTTCTGCTGCTTTCTCTCTCCAAATTCCTTTCAGGCTAGTTTTTTGGTCATCCTTCACTAGGTCCTTCTTGGGGTCTGAACATTCGACTTCGGGAACTGAAAAGAGGTATGAAGCCACAGAGGTAGCTGCTCAAGGAACATAATCCCTAGCTGCTTGTTCCCTTGCAGGTGAGCACATAACCCTCTGAGTGCAGTGAAGGTGGCTGAGAAATCAAAATGTTGGGCTTCAGCAACATAAAGGGAATTTTTCCATGTAGATGGGAGACCTCTTCTGTGAAGGACACAGTCAGCCAGTAAGACATTCTTCTGGTCCAGCTTCAGCCTTCCTGGGAGCTCCATCTATGAAGCTCCTCTTG